TTGCATGCGATGCCTCCCTGGCTAGAAAAGATGAGCATTTGAGCTCCCTTGCTTCTGGTTGGGGTCCCCTGTTCTCTAACTTTGTTGTATCCGCCATGCTACAGTCCAATAAGAAATAGGAACAATCCTGTTAAGAAATAAGTGGGAAAGAACCGATCCTTCTGAAGACTTCTCTTCCTTACTCTTTTCATTCCGCAACCTTACAGAGGATACCCTCTTCCCATCTAAGAACTGACTCAAAAGGCAGTTGCTGCAGAGAAAAATCCCTGGTTTTTCAAGGGATCCAGGCTTCCTATCAGTGCTGAAGTTTTCCTTCCCCCATGTGCATTTGCCAGTCGGGGGTGCTCCCCAGGAAGCCGGGACAACCAGCTCCTGCAAGCTGAGGGGCTCTGTGCTTGTTTTCCTTAAGGGTCTCCCCTCATCACTGAATAAACATTTGGTGATCAACTGGTAGAATTTTTATTTTCTTTTGCCCCCTTTTAATATCTGCTCATCCATGAAATATGTGAACATATGCAAATAAAAATTTAAAAGTCACAATCTGAATCCCATCACCTACTGATGGCTGTTAGTCAGTGGTATATTCCTTCCTCCCTTTTTTCAACACATAAACTTCTTTTGTTGTTACATTATATTAACATAGCTGTGATTATACTCCATATACTATCTTGTATTCTCAGTTCTTTTATCAGGAACATTTTCACATAATAAATACAACGAAATAATTTTTTTCCTCTGTACCATAATTTATCCATTGATATTTAATTACCAGTGCCTCATGTGAGTTCAGGGCCACCCTATTTGTTTCCACTGGTATCAAAGTGAGGACTCGGTCCAGAGTGTAGCAAGATAGTCCAAGAACAGAGGAATTAGGCTAATTTCTTCAGTCTTTCTCCCACTTATATCATCCACCCCTGACCATATGATCCCCTGGAAACACAGAGAAGTCTTCAATCTAAGAACATAACTGAGTTTCTTCCAGTTGCCCAAACATACAGTACTCCTGCTCCCTGGCTTCCAGGCTTTTGCACATCGTTTCCTCTGCAATGCTCTCCTCTCGACCCTGCCACTACAGCCGGCCCCTGTGGAACCCGCCCATTTCCTTCTCAGCCTTCAGACCCCACGCCCTGATCAGGCCCTTCCAGGTGGAGACGGAGTCCCTTCCAGGTGCGCTCTCAGCACGTGTGCTTCTCCGGTCAGCACCTAGCATGCTGGTTACAGCGGCCTGTATACCACTCGCCCTGCCAGGCTGGGACACTCCTGAACATAAGGACTATGTTTTTCTTGCCCACCCTTAAATTCTTAGCATGGTGCTTCCACATGGTGGGCATTCATCAGTGCTGCTGAATAAATCGATGAATAGAAGTATAGAAATAAAACAATAAAGTTGCAAGATTTTCTTGCTTTTCCAAGATGGTAATGGTCAATGTGCATGAGATGTTTCCAAGTGATTTCATGTAAATGTCATCCCCCCAATTCCTTCTATTTCTGGACACAGCACCCCAAATTTCTGATTATGAAATCATCCTTCCTCTTCCCCAGTAGATTAAATAAGGACTTCATCCCTCAGTTCCAAGGATGGAAAGAAAACCTAAGTCAAATTAAAAGAGTGAGCCTTGAGATTTTTGCCAGGACTGTTGGGAAAAGGGATTCACCTCCCTGCTGAGGTTGCTGAGTGGGCAGAGCAAGGCCTGAAGCTGTTGGTGGCCATCTTGCCTCCTCGTGGGAAGAGCTTGCCTGAGAGTGAAGACGGCGCAAAGAAAAGCAGAGCCAAGAGTTGGAGAGGCAGACTCCTGATGGCTCCGTTTGAACGTGCTTGCCCAGGTTTAACTAAAGCAGCACCACTTTTTCCATTTACTTTTACAATTTTCAATCATAGAACTCCAATTTGTTTAGCTCAGTTTCACTTGGATTTTTCTCACTTGCAGGTGCTCCTACCCTCTTTATTCCATTCTGTGCAGCGTGTGGGGTCAGGGACAGGACCCCATCGAGCAGTCCTTCCCAGACTCCTCTCCAGCCTTTGCACCTTCATAAAGCCAGGAGGGCATTGATCACTTGGTATCAGGTCCATGGTGACCCACTTCCCAAGAAATTTCACCAGCAGATGGCCTCTCCCATCATGACACCAAGGCCTCGGAGGTATGAAAAATACGGACCTCACTCAGAAGAAAAAGGTTATCCACTTTCATAGCTCATGACTATGTGTCAGGATAATGATCTTCAACTCTGCTATGAGGAAGTATTTGTAAGCCTCCCCTTCAGAATCACAAAATCTACTTTGCCAGACATTCCTGGTCAGGGAGGGAACCAGAGAATCTCTTTGCTACAGGGCCTCTACATTCTTTTGGTTCTGAAATATTACACTTACAAATTTTAATTTCATCCCTAAATTCCTAAATCCCTGTGATGCAGACCGACTGGGCTGACTTCTCATGGACAACGCTGGCCCGTGGGTAAGAGCTGAGCCACCTCCAGGCAAAGTTGCTGCCTCCATTACAGACGTGGATGTTGAACTTGGATGGGAAACTCCGGGACGAGATTGTATAAAACTCAGTTGGGAAATAACCACACCCCTAACACCATAGACCCACGGCACTCTGCTTGGCAGAACACCTACATGAGGAATTAGAGATGAAAACTTTTACAATAGTCTGCTAAACATTTGAAACCTAGGTCCATTCAAAAGGGTCCCATAAATATAGGGTCACACTTTTGCACACCCACATACACATGCATGTCTACACACTCCCTCAAGCAGAGCCGAAAATTGCAAAATGAGTACTTCTGGTCTGGGAATTTTTACAAAAATTTAACAAAGGTGTGAAAATTGAATTCTATTCAGTTAAACTCATCTAGAATTATCTTCACTGAAAATAAGAAAACTATATGAAATCAGGACTACCCTAGAAGTCCTTGGGATACACGAATGCTAAGTATCCCTGAGTATTACAACCCACATGAGAAGGATGAGAGGCATAAAAATGGGTTCAGGACTTGGGCCCTCTCCACTTAAACAAAAGACAAATATTATTAGACTCTTAACTTCCTATAATTCATTAATGTTGATATAATTATTTCACATAATTATTGTGCTAAAAAAACTTTGACCTTCTGTACAGCTATTTGCAAAGTTAACACCTCACCACTGGAGATACCCAGTGTGCATGATGGTCCTCTCTTAACAACTGATAAGATAACTTTAATCCCAGGAAAAGGGAAAAACTAACACAGTCATACACTGCATGTTCACAGGTGGACTGCACAGGAGACAATGATCCTGTAAGATGATAATAAAGCTGAAAACTTTTTACCATTAGTAATGTCTTGATGATCCTAAAACTGTGCAGGCCTAGGCTAATGTGTGTGTTTGTGTCTCAGTTTTTAACAAAAATTTAAACAGTAAAAAAACTGAAAAAGTTTAAAAATAGAAAAAAGCTTATAAAATGAGGATATAAATAAGGAAAATATTTTTTGTGCAGCTGCATGATGTGCTTTAAGCTGTGTTATTACAAAAAATCATAAAGTTAAAAAATTAGAAACTTCATAAAGTACAAAAGTTACAGTAAGATAAAGTTAATTTCTTATTGAAGAAAGATATTTTTAATAAGTTATGTAGCCTAAGTGTACAGTGTTTATAAAGTCCACAGTAGTATATATTAATGTCCTAAGGATTTGTATTCATTCATCACTAACTCACCCAAAGCAACTTCCAGTCCTGCCAGTTTCATTCATGGTGAGTGCCCTCTACAGGTGTATCATTTTTAAAATCTTTTATACCATATTTTTACTCTACCTTTTCTATGTTTAGATATGTTTAGATACACAAATACTTCCCATTGTGTCACAACTGCCTACAGTGTTCAGTGTATGAATATGCTGTACACGTTTGTAGCCTGGGAGCAATAGGTTGTAACATGTAGCCTAGACGTGTAGTAGGCTACACCATCCAGGTTTGGGTAAATGCACTCTATGATGTTCACATAATGATAAGATCACCTAACAATGCATTTCTCAGAATGTATCTCCATTGTTAAGTCAATACATGACTACATATGAAATCGCTGATGACTATGCACTTAAGTCTCTTCTCCCCCTCCCCCCATGAAGCCCATGGGAGTCACTTGTACAGTGAACACCACCACCTCTATTCCCAGGGGCTGATGGTGTGGCAGTACTGCCTAGTGGTTAGGAGCTTTGGATCTCAGCTCTGTGTGGCATTTAGAAAGTCACTTAACTTCCCTGAACTGTGGTTACTGGTAGTACTTGTCTATGAGGGCGCCTGACTCATAAGAGAGAATGTGTCTGTAAATTGGGAGATGCTGTCTGTAAACTGCCAGCATTATCGATCAGCTTCCAAATGGTGGCTTTCTTGAGGAGCATTTTCTTGGAACTGATGTCCTTGTGGACATTGGACAAAATAGGTCTGCCTTAGCCACCTGATGTTCTCTCCTGAGTTTAGCAGTGGAGACGCTTCTAGACAGAAGATCTGGTGATATTTTCATTGGGTTGGAATGAAATATACCTGCACATGGATTCTTTGAAAATTATAAACCAGCAATAAAAAGAGACACTGTAAGGAGTTACACCCAGCAGGGCTGTTCTCAATGGGCTGTAAGTTCCATACGGACAGGGCCAGATCTGTCTGCTCAGCACTGCCGCTGTGGTGCCTGGCAGAGCACCTATGACAAATGGGGGGGGGGGCTTGGCCAATATTTATTACGCATGGGGTGAGGAGAAAGAATAAGCAAGTGTTTACCGACCAAACGCTAGTCTCCGTCAGAGTCACATTAGGGATAGTCTTAGTAATGGCACCCATGAGTAAAAGCAGGGTTAAATGCCACCTTGTTTCAGCATCTCAGGTTGACATTGATGGCAATAAGTGGCCTTGTTAATTAGAGCCCCACTCTTTGTCCTGACTGGGTGTGTGAATAATAAAGCAACAAGAACTTTAGCAAATAAACTCACCGCAGATCTCAGAAATGACCATGGCCTAGCGTAACTATGTTTTCATTTGTAATCATTTCCACTGGCTAATGTGCAAACAAAGGCAGACAAACAGCTGGCACTCGGCGTTTTCTCATCGGTTATGACACTGCATTTTTCCTTGGCTTAGTCTCGGACTGTTTCTCCACATGGCATTCCAGAGAGCCACTGGCCATCAGTTGGCCTTGGCCTTTGACGTGGAGCTGTTCTGTCATCTCTGCTCACCACGGGTCTCCTTTTACACCATTCGAAGAGTCATTTGTTATTTTTTCTCTCTGGAATCCACTCTTCTGTCCCATGATAACATCCTAGTTTTTATTAGGACCACTTCTCTTCTCTTCCCAATGTACCGTGAGCCAGCGACATTGACTCCACAGTGGGGCCTGAAGGTCGAGCTGGTGACCTTCCATCCCAGCCTCAGAGACTGGCTCAGGGGTGGGACAAGTCAAGCCAATCTGAGCTGATGCCCTTGGACTTCCGCTGAGCAGGCAGGGAAGCCCACTCTTATTCCGGATTCGCTATGAGAACCACAGCTGGGAGTGGCCAGGCAAATACTGAGCAGACCGGGAATGAAACCAACATGGCATAGGCAGAGCAGAAAGATGGAAAGAAGTGAATTTCTAGTGTTTTGTTTAAATCTAGTGATTTTGTTTAAATTTCTGGATCCAGTCATACCTGAAGTTAGATACTCCTGGACTCAATGGTTATAAATAAAAATGTCCTTTTTTGCTTCAACTGGTCTGAGTTGAATGTTCTGCTACCTGTAACCAAGAGAATAAGACTTAAAGCAATACCTATTCTGGTGCATTTCTACAATTCCTAAAAAATTATAGATCCTGGGGTAAAACTCTTGAAGCCCATGACTCTGCCAGCTTTGACTTGGCCTGGCTGAGGAAGCGCCAGGGACCCCATCTGCTTCCGGGACCTGGGGAAAGCACCACTGGGCGCGGAGACGGTGCCAAGCGCCACGGAGGGGCTGGCTGTGAGGCCTGGAGACTGGGCCTCGCAGGTTATTCCCTCCCCAGCCTCCTGGCCACACGCAAGTGCTCGGTGCGGAGAGGTTCACCGTCTTCCAGAAATATCGTTTCCAAATCTGTCAGCTCTGACTATTACAAATTCTTCAACTAAACTCTTCAAGAATGGGAGAGTGGGGCTAAGCCTGACCTCCACATCCTGAACTACACCGTCAGCGAGCAGTGCTAGCCCACTGACTTTTCATTTGCTCATGCCCCCATGTATCCAGCAAATACTTCCCAGTGCTGTCCACGAGTCAGCCACAGGTCTAGGTTTGGGGAGATATTAGCGGGCAAAACAGCGAAAGCCCTACCTCACGGAGCTCGCACTCCGACACAGAAGACAGGCAAGGAACGCTAAGCACGGTAACTGCATCACGTGAGTGCTAGCAGGCGACAAGAGCCACAGGAAAAACAGAGCAGGGCGAGAATGACCCAGGGTGCATTTCCTCCTTTGAACAAAGTGACGGCGGTGGGCCTCTCTGGCCATGGGACGTTGGATTCTAGCCTGAAGGCAGCGAGGAGTGACCCGTGCAGAAAGTCAGGTCACCTGTGCAGAAAGCGACCCTTTTATTAACGTCGCTTCCCCAGTCCTTGAACTTGTGAACTGCTTGCTCTGTCTCCAGCAGCCAGTGCTAGTTAGTGGCCCAGGGCGGTGTCTGCGTAGGAGCAGGCAGCCGGGCCTTTCTCCTCCTTGTCCTGTGTGTGCTGAGTGCTTAGGCCGGAGGAGGGCGAGGCCTGCGGGCTCCGGGCGGAGACGCGGGGAGCAGAGCTGGCGGGGCGGCCACCTCGGGTCTGTCTGGACACTGCCCAGACGTCGACTCCCGGAACGTCTACAAACCTGAGTCAGAACTGAGACTCCGACAGGCGAGTGAGCCGGCGGCCACACCTGGCAGGGATTCTTGCTGGTTTGATTTGATGTTTCAGAGCAGCTGGAGCCGCTGCCCATCGGGGCGGGCCTGGCGTGCCCTGGGCGCCGGCTGCCCTGCGGGCGCGGACGGGTCCCTCCCGCGTGGGGTGGGCTTGCGCGCTCAGGCTGCCCTGCAGCCCCACGCGGCCAGCCGGCTCCCCTGAGCAAAACGTAACGCAAGCCCAGGGGCTGGGAGGGAGAAGCCCTCAGAGCCCGGAGGAGGCAGAGGCAGCTGCACGACCTCCGCGGCTTCTCGGCCCACCTGGAGGCTGGAGGCCGAGCCCGGCCCTGCTAAGCGGCCCTCGCCAGCCTCACCAGAGGCGGCTTCCCAGAGCCTCTGCCAGCCCAGCGCCTTCCCGGGCCGGCGCCACGCCCGGCCTCCCACCCGCGCGGGCGGCCCGCAGACCCGCCTCCTGCCGCCAGCCCCTGCAGACCTGCCGCCAAAGGCCCACCCCGCAGACCCGCCCCCGCAGACCCGCCCCCGCCCAGCTGTGACCTGGGACCCCAGCAACGCCCTACCGACACACACAGAACCAGGAGTCCTGAAGCAGGTAAAGTCCTCCTGTCACTCCTGGGATGTCGCCAGCGCTAACACATGATTGGCCGGTGGTGTCCTTGTCACTGACCCAACAGTGCGCACAGTCCACAGCCCTGCGATGGTGTCCTTGTCACTTACCCAACAGCGCACACAGCCCACAGCCCTGCGGTGGTGTCCTTGTCACTGACCCAACAGCGCGCACAGCCCACAGCCCTGCGGTGGTGTTCTTGTCACTTACCCAACAGTGCACACAGCCCACAGCCCTGCGGTGGTGTCCTTGTCACTGACCCGACAGTGCACACAGCCCACAGCCCTGCGGTGGTGTCCTTGTCACTGACCCAACAGCGCACACAGCCCACAGCCCTGCGGTGGTGTCCTTGTCACTGACCCAACAGCGCACACAGCCCACAGCCCTGCGGTGGTGTCCTTGTCACTGACCCGACAGTGCACAGCCCACAGCCCTGCGGTGGTGTCCTTGTCACTGACCCAACAGCGCACACAGCCCACAGCCCTGCGGTGGTGTCCTTGTCACTGACCCGACAGTGCACAGCCCACAGCCCTGGGGTGGTGTCCTTGTCACTGACCCGATAGTGCACACAGCCCATAGCCCTGCGGTGGTGTCCTTGTCACTGACCCAACAGCGCACACAGCCCACAGCCCTGCAGTGGTGTCCTTGTCACTGACCCAACAGTGCACAGCCCACAGCCCTGCGGTGGTGTCCTTGTCACTGACCCAACAGCGCACACAGCCCACAGCCCTGCCGGTGGTGTCATGTCACTGACGCAACAGCACACATAGTCCATAGCCCTGTGGTGGTGTCCTTGTCACTGACCCAACAGCGCGAACGGCCCATAGCCCTGTGGTGGTGTCCTTGTCACTGACCCAACAGTGTGCACAGCCCACAGCCCTGCCAGGACCCGGGCTCTCTCCATCCCGGACACGCTGCTGCAGGGCAGCCCCGCGGAGGAGGCGGACGGAAGCCCCGCTTCAGTGTGGCGCCCTGCCCTGTGACTGCGCGGCGTGGCCAGCGGCTGCCTGTCCCTGGCGCAGAGCACAAGCCGCGCACAGCCGGCCCGCCCGGCCGGAGAACCAGGCTGTGAAGACAGTGTTTGACGGAAGTATCCCCTGTCCCCAGGTCCTCGCCCATCCGCCCTCGGCGCTGAGGACACGGGACGTCATCTGCCCAGCCTGGCGGGGGTCGCCTGCCGCAGGGCCACACGCTCTGTGGAGGCTCAGCCACAGCACACACACTCAGACACACACACACAGACACACACACAGACACACACACAGACACACACACACAGACACACACACAGAAACACACACACACAGACACACACACACAGACACACACACAGAAACACACAGACACACACACACACAGACACACACAGACACAAAGACACACACACAGAGACACACCCACACACAGACACACACACACAGACACACACACACAGACACACACAAACACACGCACACAGACACACACAAACACACACACACAGACACACACAGACACAAAGACACACACAGAGACACACCCACACACAGACACACACACAGACACACACACAGACACACACATACAGACACACACACACAGACACACACATACAGACACACACACAGACACACATAGACACACACACACATACAAACACAGACACACACACAGTCACACACAGACACATACATAGACACACACAGACACACACAGACACACACAGACACACACACAGACACACATACAGACACACACACAGACACACACATAGACAGACACACAGTCACACACAGACACACACACAGTCACACACAGACACACGCAGACACAGACACACACACAGACAGACATACAGACACACACAGACAGACACACAGTCACACACAGACACACACACAGTCACACACAGACACACGCAGACACACACACAGACACACACACAGACATACAGACACACACAGACAGACACACAGTCACACACAGATACACACACATACAGACACACGCAGACACACACACACACACCAGGGACGGTGCCTGCCTTCCAGGAGTGGGAAAGCTCTGGGCGAGGGAGAAGAAAGGAAGAGAGTAAGTGTGGAGTGGGCGTCGTTGCCATCACCTGCTCTCCGTGGGTCCCGCTTCTGTGACAGCCGTGGCTGCGGAAGGGATCCGGCTCCTGGAGCCGCGCTCAGCGCTTCGCGAGCACCTGCTGTCTACAGGGCGCGGCCGGGGAGCGCACCTGAGCGGGGAGCGCCGCGCCAGGCGGGAGCAAGAGCCGCGGGACCGGGCGCGGAATCGCTCCGGCAGCCAGGAGGCGGGTGTCCTCCGGGGGCAGCTGAGCCGCGCTGAGCCCGACGCCGCAAAGACCCCGACGTGGGGCCGCCGCACCAAGTCCGCCTCTGCCTCTGCCTGGAGTGCAGCGGCCACGCCGCGGCCCGCCGCAGGCCACGCACACAGCCCACGGGCCACACACGCCCGCCACGACCACACAGCCCCGCCACGCGGCCCCGTCCCGCCACGCGGCCACGCCCCACCACGCGGCCACGCCCCACCACGCGGCCACGCCCCACCACGCGGCCACGACCCACCACGCGGCCACGCCCCACCACGCGGCCACGACCCACCACGCGGCCACGACCCACCACGCGGCCACGCCACACAGCCCCGCCACGCGGCCACGCCACACGGCCACGCCCCACCACACGGCCACGCCACACAGACCCGCCACGCAGCCACGACCCGCCACGCGGCCACACCTCGCCCCGCCAAGCGGCCACGGCCCCTGCCACGCTATGTGGCCACGCCCCACCACGCCATGAGGCCACGCCCCACCACGCCATGAGGCCACGCCCCACCACGCGACCCTGCCACGGCGGCCACGCCCGCCAGCTGCGCCAGCCCTTGGCCGCCGTGGCAGCAGCCCTGGTGGCGCTCACAGAGCTGCTCTGCAGACGCTGCCCACGTGGCTCTGGCAGAAGGGCGGCACAATGCAGTGGACCCCTTGCTCCTGCACTTGGCAGGTAGTGGCCCTGGAAGTTCACTCTACCTACCCCGAGTCTCAGTTGCCTCCTCCGTAAAATGGGGATAAGCTCATGTATCTGACTTGATTGTGGTGAGGGCTGAATAATTCACTTAAAATATCTAGAAGAATGCATGGCACATAGTACGTGCTATGCAAGAATGAGCTGTCATTGTTTTTAATATGTATGTAAGGATCCAATAGAGACCATGCTTTCTGCCTCATAGAACCCTCTGGAAACTCCTAGTGACAACCATGCAGCAGGGCTTTGGGCTTGACCTCGCACACAGTAGGAACTTAATGTTCAATGGATGACAGAACGGACTGATACTTAAGTTTTTATATACTTCCTTTTAAAACTAAGCTTTTTATTTTTAAATAAGTAGACTCATGTGCAGTTGTAAGAAATAATATGGAAAGAGGCAGTATTCTGTAGTTTCTCCAATGGTTATGTTTTGCAAAACTGTAGTACAACACCACAACCAGGATATTGAGACTGATAAATTCACCCATCCTATCAGATTTCCAGTCTTCCTTGTACTCGTTTCTCTGAGAGTGTGCGTGTGTATTTACTAATAGTTCTATGCAGTTTTTTCACATGGGCAGGTGTCTGCATCCACCACTACAGTCAAGATAGAGAGCACAAAGACCCTGGTGTTGCTCCTCTGTTCCATACCACTCCTCTCCCCAGCCACCCCTCACTCCTGGCAACCACTAAGCTGGCCATTTCTATAATTCTGTAACTTCAGCGACACAGTATGTGATTCGGCCAATCAGCTTTTTTCACTTAGCACAGTTCCCCTGAGATTCATCCAGGTTGTTGCGTGTATCAACAGTTCACTTCTTTTCTATTGCCGAGTAGTATTCCATGGTGTGGACGTGCCAGAGTCTGAAGATCCATGTGCCCACCACAGGACATCTGGGTTGTTTCCAGATTTTATCTATTACGAATAAAGCTGCTGTGAACATTAATGCATGAATTTTTGTGTGAGCATGAGCTTTCATTTTTCTGGGATAAATGCCCAGTCATACAATTGCTAGATCGTGTATGTGGTGGTTGCATGCTTAGCTTTAAGAGAAACTGGAAAATGCTTTTCCAGAGTGGCTGTAGCATTTTACATTCCCACCAGCAATGTATGAGGAATCTAGTTTATCCTCACCCTTACTAGTATGTGGTGCTGTCACTGTTGTTTAAATTTTAGCCATTCTGATAGATGTGTACATTTTAATTCCCAAATGGCTAGGGAGGTTGAACATTTGTCATGTGCTTACATGCCATCTACATGTTCTCTTTATTGAAATGCCTGTTCATTTCAGTGAAATATCTTCATTTTATCTATTTTTAATTGTATTTTTAACTGTTGAGTTTTTAAAATTCCTCATTATGGTCTAAACAATAGTCTTTTGTTGGAATGTGCTTTGCAAATATTTTCTCCTGGTCTGCAACTTATCTTTTTATCCTCTTATTAGTTCCTTTTATAGAGTAAACATTTTTTATTTTGGTGAAGCCCTTTGTCAATTTTTCCTTTTATGGGTTGTCTCGACTAGGGCTGCCATTAAAAAAATGCCATAGACTAGGTGCCTTAAACAATAGGAATTTATTGCTCACAGTTCTGGAGACAGGAAGTGCAAGATCAAAGTGCCCGGCAAGTTAGTGTCTAGTGAGCACTCTCTCCTTGGATTGCCGTCTCATTGCCGTGTCCTCACACTCACATCATCCGTCCTTGGTGCATGTGAGTAGAAAGGGAAAGACGGAAGGAGAGAGGGAGAGAGAGTACAAGCACACAGCAAGCTCTCTGGTGTCTCTTCTTATAAAGACAATAATCCCATCATGAGGGCTCCACCCTCATGACCTCATCTAAACTTAGTTACTTCCAAATACCATCACACTGGGGGTCAGGGCTTCAGCTTACACATTTGAGGAGGGGACACAATTCAGTCCATGGTGTGGATCATGATTTTGGTGTCAACCTTGAGAAGTCTTTGCCTAGCCCTAGGTTCTGAATGTTATTCCATACATTTATTCTAAAAGTTTTATAGTCTTTATGCCGTATATTTAAGTATCTGAGTTAAACTTCATAGATCAAGGTTCATTTTTTGCCTAAGGATGCCCAGTTTTTCCAGCACCATTTATTGGAACAGCTGCTCTCCTCCACTGAATTGCTTTTGCCCCTTTATCCAACAACTTCTGGGCATATTTGTGTGTGTCTATTTCTGGGTTCTCTATTGTGTTCTCTTGATCTATGTGTATGTTCCTCCACCAATATCTTGATTAAAGTTAGTAATCCTTAACATCGGATAGAGTAATTCCTCCCACTTTATTCTTCTTTTTCAAGATTGTTTTAGTTCTTCTGGGTCTGGAGACTTTTCCATATAGATTATAGAATAAGCCTGTCTATATCTATAGAAAAACTTGGTGGGATTTTGTTAGAAATTGCATTAAAACTATAGGTTCATTTAGTAAGAATCTTTACTTGGTTGCATCCTCCAGTCTATGAACAGAATTTATATTCTCTTCATCAGTATTTTAACATTCTCATTGTATGGCTCTTGTTACATATTTTGTTAAATTTGTATTTTTTTCTTTCAAGTAATTATAAATGGTATTGTGTTTTCAATTTCAGTTTCCGCATGTTCATTGTCAGAGAGTGTGAGGGTATATCTATATCTATATCTATATGAATGTTGATTGTTTTGTTACTGTCCCACAGGTTGCTGAGACTCTATTCATATTTTAAAGTCTATTTTCTTTCTGTTTAGATTGGGTCAATTCTGTTGATCCATTTTCACTTTCACTAATTCCATCCTCTGTCATTTCTAGTCTACTAATGAATCTATATAGCAAGTTTTACATCTCTATTATTGTATTTTTCAGTTCTATAATTTCCATTTTTTTGTAACCTCTATTTTTTTGGTTCAAGAAAATTTGTAACTGATTGTTGAAACATTTTTTGATGGCTGCTTAAAATTCTTGTCAGATAATTCCAACATCTGATTCTTCTCAGTGTTGACGTCAGTTGAGAATCTTCTTTCATTCAAGTCATGATTTTCTTGGTCCTTTGTATGCTTTTAGATTATATCCAGGATATTTAGATATTATGTTAGGAGACTCTGGATCATATTTGAATCTTTTATTTTGGTGGGAAGCCGCCCTATTGAGGTCTAAGGATGCCCAGCATGCAGACCCTAGCCTACTTTATAGGTATGAGGCTATGGTTCCAATTACAATTTAATTTTCTGAGTCTTTGGGGTGCTATTTTGCTCTGCATGATTTATCTGGTGCCTCTGTGGCTCCTGCTGGTCCCTACAGGTCCTGCCTGAGAGGGTGGAAGGCATTTCCCAGGCTAGGCTGTCTGGTGCTTCCGGCTGGGGGAAGGGATTCTCTGGTCTGCAGGAGGAAGAGTGCTTCCCAGGCTGTGCCACTGGTTGAGGCGAGATCCCACATGCCAGCATGTGGCTGCCTGGTGGACCCAGGTGAGGCAGTAAAAGTTGCAGGTCATGCTGACAAAGAGGCTTCCTGGCCTGGGTTCCTGGTGGTCCCATCCATCTTGCCAGTGCACCTGGCCACCTGGTGTCTCTCCGTTAAGGACAGGCATCTCGGGCCAGAGAAGGAGGAGAGCTTTTCCTTTTCACACATTACCCTCACCAGTGCTTCTGGGCTGGCCCGAGGTTGTTGGGAGGATGGCCATTTCTGATAGAGGAATGAGCTTACTTGGGCCACCTGCTGTTGCTAGGTTGGAAATCAAGAAAAACTGAGTCTGGGTCGCCTTCTTAGCTCTTTGCTGTTCCTCCAGTCTTGGGCTCCCTCACCTTCATCCTTCCAGTGTTCAACGTTCCTCTCTGGATGCCTTTTCTGTTATTCCAAGGATTTACAGTTGTGCACAGCAGGGAGAAGCAGGGAGACACAAGTTGGCATCATCTTGAACAAGGCAGGAATATTGCACTGTTTCATACGTGTTTGAGTCTCTGTCTGCCTAACATAGTTAGCACCTTAGGCTGAACGTCATGTCCCTTCTTATTTTTTGCCCCAGAGTCCAGGACACTGAACCTGCACAGGGTAGCTGTTCCATGGATATTTACCAGATAAATGAAGGGATGGATGAATTTGTCAAAGAGATCTCTTCCCTAATTGTTATTCTTTACAGAACTGGAAGATCACTGAATTGTTTTGTTAGTTCAGAAAACACCAAAATAGATGAGCACTTCCAATTTTCTTTGGCCTTCTGACTCCTCCTTTTCAGTCCCATCTTTGCATAATCTCACTCCCCACAACACACAGGCACAGGTCCCCCATGAGCTCATCAAGGGTCCCCCAGCC